GTGGGGGGGGGGAGAGAGAGAGAGAGAGTGAGACAAAGGTGCAGGAACAGAATGCGAGGCTCTGATGAACGCCAAGCGGCGACTCATCCGCCAGGACCACCTGGGCCCGTCGGTGCTACAAACGCAGATGTCAAAGCGTCATCGTAACACCCCAAAGATGAGCTAATTAGACACCAAGTGGAGGGACCACTCTGGGAACATTTCAGTTGGCCGCTGGATGACACCCCAAACCACACTCCAGGTAACGTCCCACACCACATGCGGAATGACATCATGAATGGAAACCCAAACTAAACAAGCAAACCCCACAATATTCAGCAAAAGCCCTTAACACACAGACAGACATCATGCTTGTTGGGACAACCCCTACATGGAGGATCAAACAGGATGAGGAGAAGCGAGGGATCGTCTCAAACAAACCTTCCCCGGTGAGAATTCCCAGCCAATTTAATCATGTGACCAGCAATACCAGTGAGCAAACAGAACTCCCATAATGCAATGCAAACAGCTCAAAGGCAGATGTGAACATCACAGGAGGTCAGTTCAGGGTCCTCAAGGGCCTGCTGTGTGGGATAAGCACTAAACGCCATCTAAAAAATGACATTTTCCTGCTTTTGTGTTGCAATAAACATTTAAGAGCCCTTGGCACGGCTGCCCTCATCACTTGATTTCTTTTCTTCGCATCGTGCTGTTTAACAGGCAGGTTCGTTTTACAGAGACTCGGATGGGCTGTTTATTTATTAGCAATACCCATGAAACGAGTCCTTATTCCAGGTGATAATGCTGCATTCGGTTCAATAAATTCATTCCTGCAAGGGATCCAAGGCCTCTCAGCAATGAGGTCTCAGCAAAACCGTGATTTATCGTACAGCGAAAATAATTCACGCGAGACGGAGCGGGAACTGAAAGGGGGCTTAAACGCAAATTAAGAACAGGGCTTTACCCTCCTGTCTGTGCAAAAGACTTGTGCGTGAATTTGCATATAAAGGGTGATGCGAGGGTAATAGACCAGATTCCCGTCCAAATGCCAGTTCAGTCACTTCCTTATCACCTTGGCGGTGCCAGAACCCCCAACTGCCTCATGCACAAACCTCATAATCATCATCTACTCAGTGTCTCAATTCGAAAGCATCGTGCCTGAACTGTGGGGCATCTCAGCACTTCGGGCTCGAATGAAACACACTGGTGGTAAAACAGAGGAAAAACAGACGGTTTATTAAAAAACCTCCATGACAAACACTCATTCGTATTTAATGGAAACCACTGAGGATTGAAAGAATGAAGAGATACCTTAACTGGTGATGTTCAGTCGAGTTGTTCTAGGGCCCTATGACGCCCCCGTGCCAAACAGCACGATGATCAGACAGGAGTAATAGCCTGGTGTGACCTCACCCGGCTGAGAAACAGAAAGGGAACCAGTGAAAACTGGACGTGTTGCGTCCCTCCAGTTTCGAGCTGTCCAAACAGCTGGTGACAAGGCCAAACGGGATGCACTGGTCCCCGATGTCCCGAAGTGGCCGACGTCTGACGTGAAAAAGCATCCGCGGAATTCACCGGCACTATGTCCCAGACACATCCAAGAGCAGGAATAAAAAGCAGGAACCTTGAAAGAGGCTTCATTTCATTATTAAACTTCACTGCATGTTCAAGGCAGTGCTAAGCAGTAAGTTGACGTCTCCTAACCATTCTCGATAAAGCTTTCATTCAGCTTTATACCTCTGACACACCCAGAGGGAGGATTATAAACCCTTACTAAGATGAGGAAGAATTATGTGCCACAATACGAACGCATTAATAAATCAGACCTATGGTATCTGCCAGAACTTTGTGGGGGCATAAGTGTCATACGTTTGGAGCGGGAAAATCAGCGGGTCACGTAATGTCCGGACCTGGTCTCCTAGGAGACGGCGATGCCACGGCGACACTGACGGGTTGTTTCTCTCCCGACAGTAAAGACGGACTGGGATCATTTCATAAGGGGAGCGATCGCGTGGCGATTTTGCGGAGACAGATCAGCGAAGGTGGAGACTTTCACGTTGCTGGGGGGTCTGGGTGAGGGGTCTAGGTGGGGCCTCCCGCAGTGAGATGACAGCCCAGTGAGGCTGTGATATGGTCAGGATCTGGCCAAACTGGGTTTCAGGCCAGTTGTCTCTGCAATAATTCGCCCCTGTAGTGGGTGGGGGGGGGGGGGGGGGGGGGGGGGGGGGGGTTGACCCGTTTCACAGCGTAAAACAGCATGGTTAGAGGACACGACTGCGTTTGATCTCCATAAATAAATTCAGATCACAGCTCTGGAACGAACCAACTCAGCAACCATGGTGAGCGCAGCGGGGGGAGATGGGACTGTGTTCACGTGGGGGGGGTGACGTTTTACTGGGCCGTGAAAATAAGCCCCAAAATAACATTGCGAGTTGAATACAAGTGACATAAATCCAGGTATTGAATGCTGTGGGACCACCGTGGCAAAAAATACAAATAAACAAAGACTTAAGCTATTCCTTAATCTGACTTTTTCAGAAAATATGAGGCAAAACACAGGCAAAAGTCACCATAATGGGAGAGGAACTATTTCCGCTTTAATGGGAGTCGCCGCGATCGTTCTTCCGATAAACCTCATTATTCTTGACATTTGCATCAAATTCACATTAAATGTTTATACAGACGCTAATAAACAGAGTCAGAATGGTAGTTTTATTGCACAGTTGCTCAGATCACCAGCGTGTTTAATGCTGCCGTCTCGCTCATCATTTTCACGCTGATTTTCTCATACAGGCCTGGAGGGAAGTTACTGTACGAATGTGCAAAAGCCCCCCCCCCCCCAAAAGAAAAAAAAAACCAGCGACGTGGACAGTGCTGCTCCTGAATAACAATCTGAGCAATAATACGAAACCTAAGTTAAGGCGATAAGGGGATTGTGTTTATTGTCGTGGTTGAGAGAAGCAGTGGCAATTGGCAGACAACGCACTTAGCTAGATGATGTCATCACACGTGCCTGTACAGGAGACTGGGGGGGGGGGGGGGGTGTACATAAATAAAAACCAAACTGGCTAACCTGCTTTTTCCTTTTGAGATGCAATTCCTGGTGATTTCTGTCCCATTAACACGTACACACTACCCCCCCGCACTCGATTCTGCTCACAACACGTCTTACTCAGGCAGCCCAGTTGTAGGACCTCACAGGAGACGGGGCCGACAAATCAGCATTACCAAGCGGACCCCCATGCTGATGGCGTGACCGAGGGCCACATGGACCCCCCCGAACCAGGACAGCACTCTGCAGCCACAGAGGGACCCTCCAGATACCTGGCGAAACGCCACGAATCGGTCACATTCAGTTCCCAAAAATACTAATGATCGGCTGAATGACCGGTCCTCCATTTTTGATCGGGTGCCCAACGGAATCCTGGAAGTGGCACATCACCCCATAGAGGAGAAACTGAGAAGAATCCCCCAAATCCCTGAAGACTGCCATTTTACGCATAGGGGGGTGGGGTCCTTCTCAAGTGAACCCTGTTTCATTTCAGGTGAAAAAGTCTGTCCTTTTTTGAGGGTAACAGCTTAGAGCAGGAAATAGAGATTTATTAAGAAAATGGGTTAGGCCAGTGTTTCCCAACCCAGTCCACGTTTTTGCTTCCTCTCAGCTCCCAGCGCACCTGTACCAGGTATTCGGTGTTCCCGATTGGCTGGGAGCTGGGACGGAGCAAAAACGTGGACTGTCTGGGGTTTCCCAAGGACTGGGTTGAGAAACACTGGGTTAGGCCACCAGAAATTACTTTTTGGCTCTATTCTGATGTATCCCCCTGAGATCAATAAAGTTTCTCCAATTTCCATTCATCTCGCACTGCAAAAACAAAATGTTACTACATTTTTGGCAGCAACTGCACCTTCCAGGAGTTCTGAATTAAGCCTGTTGGAAATGCAGAGGCTCATGTTTGCCTAAATTTTTGAAAAGCCATTACATCACCACAGAATCAAACTTGTGCTGCTTGTAGATAACACTGTATTTACTAGCGCTCTTCTTCAGCATTTATCATGGCACGGGATACATCCTTACCAGTCTCCACGTCCTGGGTGTAGAAGTGAAAGCTGTCCGTGATCTCTGTGACATACACTGGCTTGTAGCTGGGCACACGCTCCTTCTCCTCGATCGGCGGCACGCTCTCCTCTGCGGTCTTCTCCTCGTAATTGGCCCAGATCTGTCACATGACCACAGCAGAGGGGCACCATCAGGGGAGCTCAGGATGAGTCACCCTCCACGAGAATTAAAAGTAATCAGTCTACATGGGAAGGCCGGGTGATTTATCAGGCAGGTGTTAATGACTGACATGCGCATGCAGAGAACAGGGGGATAAAGACCTTTCTGACCCACACAAAAACATTAAAACTTTTACATCAGCGCTTGGCTTCAGGTCGTTGGCCAGCACAAACTAGCATTAGCAAGATGCTACCAGATCACAGAGCATTTCGGAAACATCTAGAAAGCTCAATGGACTTCTGCTACTAACGAAGCAGAGTATGGTTCACGAAACCATGATGTTCCATGAGGCTCACAGGCATTCTGACACTGACGAGTGCCCGGGTCCATGGCCTGATATCAAAATGAAAACAATGCAGCTTCACCGCCCCCAGCTAACACACACTGCTGTTTCCTACCCATGCTGACAGCCTGGGGCCCATTGCGTTCGAAGCGGGTCTTTCACTGGACTCCCCCCTAGAGTCCGTACAATGTTCACTTTCAGCAGTTTCATTTATTCTGCTCAAGCACCAGGCAATTATGTCCACAAAGAAAACTGTAAAAATGTAAACACATTTTATAATTGAAATTCAATTTTCCAAGCATAGGACACATTGAAAAGGTGGGTTGGCCAAGAATTATCTACAAAACCCATTCTGATTGGCCGGCTGGGCAGGGTAACTCTGGATTCTGCGGTGTTCCACTGCGGTAAAAGAACATGCAGTGAGGTGAAACGGCGTCTAAACAGTGCAAAGCCAGCAAGTCTCAGTGTAGGTTTGTGATGGACTGACATCCCACCTGGGGAGCCCCCGACCTGGGGAGCCCCCGACCTGGGGAGCCCCCGACCTGGGGAGCCCCCGACCTGGGGAGCCCTTTGCTTTTTGGGACAGGCCCCAGGCTCACCACAGCCCACAGGCAGGTAAGTGATTACAGAAGATGAATGGAATCTGACCACAGTCTCAAAGAATTGATAAAGGGCGGTGAATTCATGTACATTTTAATGGAAAAAAAAATAACTGAAAAATGTAATGAAAGTCAGTACTGGTGGCTGTGAGCTCCATCTTGGATTTAAGTGGGAACGACGAGGCCTTAAACAGACGTTCGGGAAGGACAAGCTGCGACGTGGTTAACGACAAACCACGCCAGTTCTACGTCAACATCGGTGAATCCATGCAGCCAGAAGATGCCCGATTATCATGTTGACACTAACGATGGCAGAGAAAGTCAATATCGAAGCCCCAGTCCATGTTGGCCAGTCACCACAAGCACCCGTGACTCCTGCCAGGCATCTACGGATAAGTACAATGAAAAAAGGACCCACAATGCACCTGGCGACGAGACCAAACCGCTACTATGGATGAGCAGTAACTAATTGAAAAAGGGACATGAAATTTGTACATATAAGTTTAGCATCTCATTTACATACTCTGATGCTTTTATTTAAAGATTCTGCAGACGATCCACAAACATTTTTTACAGTCGGGTTATTTTGGGGGGGGGGGGGGAGTTTAGGTTGGCACTTTGCTGACGGTGCCTATCTCCAGGTTTCTCCTGGGTCCCAGTGCCGCCTGGGTTCTGATGACCAGGTTCTGAGATGCGAAGCCCATTTGCACCTTTGCCCATTAAATTCTGATCTGCCCAGTTTCTGAAAGTGTGTTAATTAATGGGACAGAGGTGCTAATCCAGGAAGGAAGGAAGGAAGCAACACGAGGGCACAGCAAGTGGTCAACCCTTCATTTAAGCCCAAAGGAAATAATGTTTTTGCCGACTGGACCACCTGGGACCAGTAGAAATTGATATGCAGGCCAGTTATGTTTTGACCTTGGCTCTCTGACAGGATGCTTCATGGAAATTTGCGGGTTTGTCAGAGGGTGTGACCACCAGTCAGCGCTAAAGACACCACTGACATCCACCAATCCTGACCCAACCCCCCAGCTCAGCAAAGTGAGACTATTTCCATCGTCTGCATCGTGGCCAGAGTCGTGACCTTCCTCAGTATGACTGCAAGTGACTCCCCGGGGCCCCAATGTCACGGGCCGCACGGCGCCCCCTGTGGGCAAGGATGATGTCCAGCTCGCTCCTCGATGCTAATCAGACTTGACAGCGTGTCAATTCCAATAGAGGCCCAGAGAAACCGGACCAGCGTGGTGGGGGGGAATAAGGGGGAGGAGCCTTGTCTGTATGACAGCAGGATCAAGGCCCAAAAGACTGTTTGGAATCTAGTATATCAAAAACGACGGCTGTGAGCTTTTCATGCGACAGTGGCAGCCAGGGAGGGTTGTATCAGAGGACGGGTTCGAAGTCGGAGCCCCACAGCTGAACGGGCGGCTTTGTCCCATGGGAGGCCGTCTGAACAGGCGTCAGTGGGAGTGGGGGGGG